GTCCGAGGAGCCGAATAAGCTAGGCAACTCTAGCCGAGCCCTTTTCGGGGGGGGGGGAGTAGAACCGCTTAGAGCGAGACGCTTGGAGCTTGTCTCGGCAGACTCTCCTTGGGCTTCCTCGAGTCCAGGATCCCCGGTCGGAAGTATAGCCAGGTCCCGCACCTCGGTCTCGCTGTCTAGAAGCTCGATGACAGCTTCGGGACCGGGAAGAGGTAGACCGGAGGAGGGAGATAGAGGGTCCAGAGGGGAATTGGAGCTATGGGAAGGGAGTTCGGGCCCACGGGAGGAAACCTCGGGCGCGACCTCAGCTGCCGCCGTCGGGCTTGAGGCCCCAGCATCTTTCTTCTCTGCCTCAGCCAGCTCCAAAAGCATATCGATCATCATCTCGGCTGAGAGAGCACACAAAAAAAAAAAAAAAAAAAAAAAAAAAAAAAAAAAAAAATAGGAGAGTCAGAACGCAAACATAATAATAATAATAAAAAAAAAGACAAGCAAACACACACAACTGCCAAGCGGCATCTGAAGTCTGGACGGGAAAAAAGGAAAAGAGTAGGTATACCCCAAGGGCGACGATCAAAGGAAGGGATATGCCACAAGCCGGCACGAGAAAAAAGGGGGAGACTGCTAATAATTTTCTCAACATTCCAAGCACGGGGGCGAACGCGAGCCAATAGGCCTGCGATCTCATCCTCGAAGTTCATGCTGAGGGTAGCACACTTGGGAGATTTAGGAGGGGGAGTGGAGTCAAAAGGCCAGGCCGAGGGTGGGCGAACGAAGAAGAAGCGGCGTTGCCAAGAATCAATCTTCGTAACCAGCCCGGCAAAAAGGCGACCTATTCGTGAAGATAAATGGTAATAGCCGGAGGAGGATCGATTGTGGGTAAAGATGGTGAAAAATAATTCTGGTCGGGGGTCTACGCCGGTGCTGACACAGACTATATAGAAACACGACATGAACTTTATGGCGTTAGGATGGAAAAGTTGGAGGGGAATCTTGTATAGGCTGCCTACATCAACAAAGAACGGGTGCAAAGGACGAGTAAGGCCAGCCTTGAATTGATCCAAGTACCAGGTGAGATAGCCCGGAGGGGGACTAGAAGGAGACTGGGAACGGGAGGGGACTAAGAGATG